GCAGGAAAGAAACATGATGCAAGGATCGGATGATGAGAAATATGAGTAAAAGGCTATATAGTACAGAACAGAGAACTCAGGGAAGGGTGATGGGATACACGATGTATCTACAAACATTTTCTAGGAAACAATATAAACAAAGATTATGTTCAGTCTCAGATGATTGAGATAAGAGCAAGGCCCTGAATATTTTGGGAGGGGGGGGGAGCTTAAAATACACATTAGGAGAGTTCTCTACTAGTAAGAGCTGTTGGATAATGGAATTGATAAAGGACAATAGCAAAGATACCTTCACTGCAAATATTCCAGAACAGGTTATGTACAGTGTTAGTGTAAATAATGTAGCTAGCAGTCATGTAAAGCAGTTGGGTCACCCCACTAACTGTTGAGTGTTAGGAAGAAACTTCCCCAGTGGGCTGGATATTTTATAGTTGTCCGCTAAATAGCTTCCTGCACCTTTCGCCGAAGCCATGGTACTAACCTCTGAGAGGGATTACTGAAATATGTAGACCATTGGTCTGATCTGGTATGGAAGTTCCTGTGTTCATTTCATGTTTAACTCAGCATTCATTTGACCATAAAGCTATTATAGAAAGCTGGGCTCAGTGTTTCCCCAGACTAACTATTTTTGATTAAAGCAGGGTTAACATTCATGTTTATGTCCAACTTGTTGTGAATTCTCATTGTCCATTATAGTCGCTGCTGTAGCTCTTCCTTTTTCAGCCTTTTAAAATTCTGATTAAAAATGTTTGTGCTGCACTTTTTACTTAATGCCTTATTGATCAGAACAATAGAACTAATTAGAAAATGAATTAACTTTCTTCTTTGCAAGTCTGCCTAATTGTGATATACTGTACTTATTATAAAGCACCAATCAATATATTTACATTCATTATTACCCAATTAATTATAGTGCTTGTCAAACCACATTAATAAATGTAAGTAAAATGACTTTGGTAACCGTGCCTATTCTACTTATTTTGTACTACTTTTGTATTCATTAGGAATTAGATATTTGGTTACCTTTTATTCAGTACTGAAAGTCCATTCACCTGCAAAAAAAACCCCCAATTAACTAGTACACCCATCCTTTTTTAAAAATGATAAGTTGATAGATGTGCCTGGTCTGTTAAATATGTGTAATGAGAGATTTCACTCCATTTAATAAAATCACTAGAAATGAGATGTCATAAGTGTAAAGGCGTTTGCTCTGTAATATAACCACCTGTTAAATAGAGGGCACTGGCTGTGTTCTGTAATCTCTTTTTAAACAACAGTCAGCTGTTGTAATGATTTTGTTTCTGATCTGTACATGGCAAAGATTTGTAACCCTGTTAATACTTCGTAAAAAAACAAAAAACAAAAATTAATCAGATAGAAGATTGAATTAGTCATGTGTTCCCAGAAATGAATAGTAAAGAATCACTTTTATGAAAGTTTGGTTTACAGGCCTAAAAGTGCAAGTTAAATTAAATTTTGAATAAATCTGAATTCTGTTTGCAGGCTTAGGTTTTTTTTAAATTAGTCACAAGTATTTCAGGCCTTATATCTGTTTATTTGCCATTATCTTGCATATTGATAGGGTAACTGAAAATATATAGGGAATACTGCATTTTCCCTTTGTCTTGCAGAGATGAGTTTTTAATGCTATGATAGCATACATGTAGTTTACACAATGTCAGTAACAAAATCAGAACTCTATCATTTTGGGAGGCTCTATCATTTTGTAGTGGCTATGTCAAAAGATTGGGAGTCAGGAGACCAGAACCATATTTCTAGCTCCTACCGCTGACTTGCTATGTGACCTTGGGCAAGTTGTTTAAACTCCTTCTGAACATCACTTTCATTGCCTGAATAATGGAGAGAAAACTTACCCTTTCTAAAGCATTTTGAGATCATGAAAGATGCTGAGTGCCCACTATCTTTTTTTTTCCTTTCTTTTTCTTTTTCTTGTATTGATGGTGATCTTAAATAGAAGTTGAGAGTCCTACTTCTTAAACTTGACTGTCTGGGAGATAGGGCAATCTTGTTATTTTTAATGTGAACATACAAATTGTTGAATGGGTTACAGGTTTGGTATAATGAACTTGACTTGCTTGGCAAGCAGTAAAATCATATCTTATGGTTGCTTGCTTTTGTTTCCTTTAAACTAGATCTAGATATTCAAGAGCTTACTCAGTTACTGCTAGTAGGTCACTAAATTTTATAGTGTAAATGCCAAGGGTACTGTAGCGCTTGCTTAACTATAGTGTAAAGGGTAATACCTATAAATCCATTCTGCACCATACATTTTTAAATGTGCAAATATAGCCAGTTGCAATTAAATGGTTCTAGTTTACAAACGTTGCCATGAGGTGTTATCTTCTAAATACATAAATAGTTCTAATTTTATTGTAAAATGAGAAAACTCTGTACAAACTTACTGTTGTTTGTTACATCTGTGTCAGTGACCAGTAAGAACCCATACTTTCCCCCAACTGTTCAGAGATCCATAAGTAGTAACACTCCAGACAAGAATCTTTGCCCCTCTTGGTTGAAGTTACTGGGACAAGATTTGCTTTTCTAATGTCCCAGTGGTACAGCTCCACGAGCAGTGATCGAAGTACTCCTAGAGACATCCACTGGCATTTTAACTACCCTCTTATCAAACCTGCTCAAAAGAGATCTGGGTGTCCTGGTGCTTAAAATGGTGATGCTCACCAGTAGTCTGACTACAATTGTACTTCCATTATTCTTTCTGCCCGATCTAGTGTAGACAAGGCCTTCAGCTTCAGTTCAAATCTTTAAGGCTCATGCTAAGTATATATGCATAGTGTATGGAATTGTCATATATTATGGCTGAAACCTTAAAAGCCTACTGAAAATTTTGGCAAGTAAGTGGGTTTGCCTGTTTTCTAGTTGTTGCATATTAACTATGTGGCAAGTTTTCCTTGGAGTTGAAGAAAGCCTTTTGAAAATTTCTGCTTCGTTGGTTATCTGAGCTGATACTTTTATTAAGTATTCTTTCAGAGAAGTAACCTGTCGATGTAATTTTAAAAGGATCTTTGTAATTCTTTCTCTTGAAACAATACAATTCTTTCCTCCACATCAACACATTTGTTTCAAAAGAAGGACACGTGACATGTAAACGTAAGGAGCAAATATCCCTCAAAATCACATGAGACAATATACTTGATATGAGTACATTCAGATTTTAAAAAAAGAGAGCCAGAGCAAACTGACCAAAAACATTCAGGTCATGCACTAGAAACTGCTTTATCTAACCTCTTGTTGAATGTTGTTTTGGCTGTTGTTTTCCAAAGACAAAAGTATGGAGAGTAACTTTCTGATTACAAAATACAGTGTAAAATATTGATTTGTATGTTAAAGAAGAGTTCCAGTGAGATTTAAAACAAACTATTTTAATTGTAAACAAACAGTACCATAGTGCATGCTAAAATATATTCACATTTATTACAGCTGATTCAAATTTGTGTATTAGGTTTTTACATGTGAATTTAAATCTCTGAAGCATACCCTTGTTCCTTTACTGTGTGTTACTGTTATGTCTGTGTACATAAAATCTTACTGTTTCAAACCCATGTGTATTGAGAATTTTTGTTGTTATAGCTGTCATTTAAAAAAAAAAAAACATGGGTTTGAACATACAAAATATATTAACCCTATCAGAAAAATTCTTAAGTTTCAGAAACTGCTTTTACTAGAAAACTTCAAATGTGTATATTGAGAAAAAATTATTTGTTAAAAGGCAATTCACATTTTAAACTGGGCTTCCTCAATAAAAGAGCAGTGTGAAAAGTTGGAGATCAACGTTGAATTATCTTTTCGCAATTATCTTTAAAGTGATTTCTGAAACTAGTTTGGAGGCCAATGTTTATACCTGCATGTTACAATGTGGATGAGATTTTTTTATTTCTATGTGAGATGTGCAGTAGTTGTATCAAATTAGTTATGTGTTATGAATGCTTTACTCAAATACAGTTTCTCTTATGGATAATTTCAATTCCATATTTGGGTTTATAACACATTTGCTAATGCCTTCTATTGAACCATGCCGATATGCATATTGATAACTTACAACATTCAGTAAATCATAAAATACTGTAACTGGTTAATATTGATCATTTTCTGAAGACCTAACACAGATGATTAAAATCTAATTATTTGTAAAATCTCTATTATTAATTTAATGTTAGCGTACCAAAGCCTAGTATACATGTCTTTTTATTATTTAAATAGACATAAAATAAGTAACATTTACATAAGTATAAGCTCTAGGCATCCCATAAAGTTTAAATGCATTTTACATCACAGGATGAAAGTAGTGAGCCAGCAACATTGCAGCAATTGAAAACATTAGCATTTTGTAAAGTTGCTCTACCGTTAGATTTGGGTAATAATTATTTGGAATTAAAAACCCATGTGCAAAGATATCTTTTGTGTTAACAAACTGTGGCACCTTTTCAGTATTCTTTTCATACTGGAGCAAGACTGCAGTAACCAATACAAATGAAATTATTAAACGTTAAGAACACATTTTGCACTAATAACCTTCAAATGTCACGTGCCAGTCTGAGGTAGTAAGACACTTAATTGTGAAATTAAAAAATGAGAAAATAAAGGCATCTTAAATAATTGTAAACACAATACAAATATATTTTAGGGAAGTATCTGTTTTTTTTTAAAATAAATTTAAAGAAAATGGAATTGACTGACTTTTTTAAGACCACTTATATCAAAACCCTTGCTGGTCTACTTAATCAAAAATCTAAAATGAAATGATGAATTTTTAAAGTCATGAAATGTTACATGCATAACCTGCATGAACACATAGATGAGCAATAAGGACCCAGTACAACTCCCACTGTTATCAATAAAACAAGCTCACGTTGATGTTGGCTTGGAGCTTAAATCACTATGGGTTGAATGTTTATCAGCAATTAATTTAAACTGTGTGCTTAAGCTTGCTTTTTTTGTTTTTGTTTTCCCCATTTTCTTAGATCTCTAGTGGAAGAGGAAGATCCTCACATGAAAGTATCTCTTGGTAGCAGCGATATGGGCGTGTCTGCCCATCTACAGTCTTCAAAGACAGGGACCACACGATTTTTCACCAGCAACACTCATAGTTCTGTGGTATTACAGGTAATCTAATACAATATATTGTAATATTTATACCAGTCTTTCCTGAAGATTTTCACGGCTTTGAACTGTATCTGCACCTAAGAAAGTTCTCAAACTTGGAAAAGTGCCTTAGAGACCTTTTATTAAACATTTGTTTGTGTCATGTCAACAATGCCTTTGTTGAATAGGCAGCATGGTTTTGTGTTCTTTATTTTCTCTTTGAGAGCTTATGTTATCTATGAAAATCAGATTTTTTTTTTCAAGTTAAATGTTCAGGTCACATCAACAATTTGAAAAACATGACCTTTCCCTGTAATTATAGACGTGTTCACTATTAACTTCAAATAGGTAAATAAGGCTTGCTAAAGTGAGGGACCGCTGTCTCAAAGAAACTCACCTCTTTAATATAGTCAAGCAACTTTTTCAGGTGAATTTCCTCTTCTCGCCTTTTCTGTGTGAACGCTGTGTTAAAGATGTCATGAGTCTTAACTATTCCTCTTTGTGCCCCTAAAACATGTATCCGTTGGCAATTTCATAATCTGATCTATCCACATACTGTGCTGGAGTCTGAATACTTCCCACAAACAATCTTAGCAGCCATCTGCAGTTTCTACATGGTTTGCGAGCCATAATATGTGACCTACATATGAAATCATTATTAAGAAGCTTGCACTTTCTGCACGTAGAAAAACTGTTACGTTATCCTCTGAAGTTCATAAATATGCCAGCTTTCACTTATTTTTTAATAAACATGCCACCTGTCTTTTACAGACCAACCATGAAATAGCCTTCAGTTTATCTTATCTGTCCCTGTTCAGCTAGGGAAAGATTACCTTTGTTTAATTCACAGCTATCTAATCAAGCAAGTTTCATGTTTTTACAGTGATAGTATACACTATACAAAAAAAAAAAAGAGGACGACTTGTGGCACCTTAGAGACTAACAAATTTGTTAGTCTCTAAGATGCCACAAGTCCTCCTTTTCTTTTTGCGGATACAGACTAACACGGCTGCTGTTCTGAAACCAATATATTATACATACAGTGGTACCTGATGTATAGAAGGAAGTAAATGGCTTTGTTAATATTTGTCATGGGTGCCCACGCTTCAGGAAAACCACACAAACCCCGTCGATAACCTCCTCACCATATATTAGCAGTATGCTTGCCCCTTTGAGTTACTTCTTCCAAACTCAAGAATCAAAATTCAAGTTACATGAAAGTGGGTATACAAACTGAAGAGGAAGAAAATGTTGGAGGGTGGCTCTACTCTGAAAAGTGACTGTAAAAATGACACTTCCATCCCCTATGTTTATTCAGGATCATATCCGTAGACTTCAGTGACAAGAATAAAATTTTAGCACTTCTTACTTCCATGAGCTCTTCAGAGCTAAGGGGAGTTAGACTGTGTTTCATCCTGTACATGCCAGATTTGGTTAGTGTATCTTAACCTATTAATCTGGGCAATCACTTTGAAGGAAATAAGTAAATGTGTAAATGAAGGTGCATAGGGGAGACCGAATATGAAGTACAGAACCTTTATCATTAGTGATGATGCACAAAATGGAGAGAACTCACCTGCGGGGCCTAGCAGGCAGGGGAAAACATATTTTTACTTATAAATTGGGCACATGTGAAATGGAAAGAAATGACAAACTTGGAATTCCATAGTGCTGTTTTTGAAGCATAATTTTTCAAAGCAGAACTGCACTTTAAACATTCACCCATGTGGTTTTCTCATCCTATTGTACGCAGGTGTTAGTCTTATTTTTGATCTGAAACCCTCCACTTGCCCAGCAAAACAGCATCATTGAGCTTTAGCATTCACTTTCAATTTTATTATTTGTCTTTTCCATTTTAATTAAAGTGAACTAAAGTGGTGGCCTCACCTTGTCAGTTTCCTATACTTTCTATCTAAAGCAAACAGACTTTGAAAGGTAAGATTATTTTATTGCAAATATTTGTTTGCTTATGTAAACCAATTGGCACATTTACCCTTAAATTTGCTAATTGCTTTATAGAACTATATAAGTACTTGTAATAAGATAACCTCACATCGCTGTTCCAAGACTTTATTTTAAAAATCCCCGAGATTATTAAACCCAAAGAAGAAGAGAGTAGATTAGATATATACTTTATTGGTTTCAAAGGCCTGTTGATAACTATAGCTCAATATGTATAACTTGAAAAATGTTCTTATTACCAGCAGATTTCTGTTTATACCCCTGCAGCACAGAGACATAGCTACAGATAAGAGAATCACACCCCAGTTGTTCCAGCCTTTGGAATGGGGGGCTTTGAATCCTAGAACCAGCTGGGGTCAGTGAGACTGGGAGTTCCAAGTTCCTGCATGAGAGAGCTAGCAGTGACGGGGTGTGTGTGTGTGTGTGTGAGTGAGTGAATGAGTCAGATGCGATCACTGAAAGAACTGAGGTATTCTAAACCTGACTAAAGAAGGGGTAAAATGTGCTCTGAGTTGCCACTAGCCCCATCTGGGAGATGGTCCTTCCCCTCTGCCCTACCCCACAAAGGTTGATGAAAGACCCATCCCATCCAAAACCCTATTTTTTCCCTTGTTGTTACTATAGCTGTGACATTGCTCACCAGAGAAACTAGGAAGCCTGTAGCTCTCACTTTTTAGGATCTGAGTACGGTGTTTTCATATAGTTCTCTAACAACATTTTGAAACATTTCTTTGTTGTTCAGAATATTAAAAGTTTGTGATATATACCAAACCTGTGCAGATAACTAATTTTTAAGCAGAGGAACATTTTTTAATTTGATCAGTTTTTCTCTACAGTCACTATCAGTCCGAAGTAAAGTTTATAGATCTACTAAAAGGTGCAAATGGATTAAACAAAATGTATCTGTTGAGCAACTTCTGGTATATTCTCTGTTGCATCTATTTCTATGAGGGGAAATTGTCTGGTGGGAGCTCTGTATTCTGCTGGTGATGATTTTCTAAAAATGGTCTTCTGGCCCACGCTGAACTAAATTCTCTTTCTGTTGGAGCAACCAAACTAAGGCACTGTGGGACGGTGTCACATGGTGTTGCTCTCCTCTGGCAGATAAAAATGTAAGCATCTCGTAGAAGCTTACAAAGCTTTAAAATGTTATAAACTTCAGAAAGTAGTTCCTCTATGTTCTAGTTTCTGCTTGAATTGTGTAGGCATCACTAGAATTCTTCCATATCCTATGGATTCAAGCCTACAACCCATACAATCCCTTGCTTTCTCCAACTAGAACTTTACGCAGAAGTGCTGTGTGTTTCCTTGTATAGGATGAGGATTCCCTAAAGAATTATGACTTATTTTAGGACTTGCTGCCAACATAGCTTAAGTGGATCACAATGGGTTTTCAGACAAAAACAAGCCAGAGCCTTTTCTCTTATTTTAATTTTGGGTTGAAAGCACTAGTAGTGTCTCAGTTTCTAACTCCTGGGCCTCTACTTGGTATTCTTTCATCTTCAAATCTTAGGACAGGTCAAACTTTTCTAATTTTTTCCTACCTCTTACCTCGCTGGGAACTATCACTGAGTCTCTTTTTCTGTATGATTGGAAATGGCCTTTCTCTGGAGCCTTTACAAAGCTGGAGTTAACCTTATGGAAAGATTTACCTCAAGGCCAAACCCAGGTTACTGCATGGGTAAATTGATTACCATCCCACAGGAGAGTATATACTCAAGCTACAAGGATCCCCATGTATATACAGTAGATTCTGTTCTTAAAGGGGCTTTCACAGAAGCAAAAAAATTGGTGGTAGGTTGCTGTTTGTTCAGTTCATAGTTTATTAGAAAGTGCCTCCAATCATTAGTACTGCAGCAGAGATATTTTTGCTTCATCTTTCAGCATAATAGCTAGTCTAGCAACAAATAGCACTGTTTGGAGACCTGGCAACTAGACATATTGAACGCAGCTCATTGCCTTCAGATTCCAATTGTAAAAGAATAATTTTTCTCCAAAGTCTTAATACCTATTCTTGCAATATAAATTGGAGAACTAGTAGGGTGCCTCCTTTTTTGCAAGGACTAGTTTCAGAAGGCCTGGTAAAAATGCACCAGTTGAGGGTCATTGGATTACTGAAATGCTTCGTTTTGGTACTTGGCTAAAAATTAATAGATGGATTAGTTTATATAATTGTATTAGATCATTGTCAAAATGTTGTTATATCATTGTCAAAAAATTAAACTCCAGTTGGGTGCAAAATATTTTGTGCTGCCCTTAGATCACAGTCTGGTTTGCTTGGATATGATGGGAAGGACAGCAGAGAAGGTGGAAGACTCCCATATTTCCATGCAGCCCAAAGGCTCAACATAGAGAAATTCACTGCTCTCTTAGGGTCTGTCTACACTACAATTAAAACTCTGTGGCTGGCCGATGCCTGCTGGCACGGGCTGCAGGGCTGTTTAATTGCAGTGCAGACGTCCGGGCTTGGGCTGGAGCCCAAGCTTTAGGGCTGTGCAAGGTGGGATGGTCCCAGAGCTTGGGCTGCAGCCTCAGCCAGAATGTCTACACTGCAATTAAACAGCCCCACAACCAGAGTCCCACGAGCGGAGTCATTTGGCACAGGTCAGCTGTGGGTGTCTTACAGCAGTGGTCATCAGGTTTGCAGGACACTGACTAGCCACTTTGGTTATGCTTGTAGCTGTAAATTTTGGTTCAAAGCAGGAGGTTGTCTTCATATCTTGGGTTATCGTATTGCTGAACTGGGTTCAGAATAGGGCTCTGTCAGTATGTTGAATGTTAGAAGAATGTTATGAAGGATTACACTGAATTTAACTATGCCCATATTTATGCCTTTCCTCTGGTTCTTTTCTGTTTTCCCATTGTGTTCTTTCTTTAGGACAGATCTGAGTTTTCATCTCTGTATTTATGTTCACCACAGCTTTAAAGTCCAGGCTTCTTTTTTAATAAAAATAATAAACAAATTCTGGAATTTGGAGCTGAGACTCTCAAGTGTTATCTGTAAGGCTATTTGCCTCCTTTCCTTCCCCTCACTCCCATCAACCTTATCAATATTGTTGGGTTAGGCGACATATATGACTAAACAAAATTGATCTAAGTCCTTCCCACGTTCTTGTAATGCATGAAAGGGGCCATTATTTCTATTGATCTTTAAGTATTCCCGAAATAGGTTTTCCCCCTATATGCAAACCTTTCTTTTAAGGTGCCATTGTTATCTGAGACCCAGGTAGTTGTAGTTTGCCCCTCAGACTTGTCTGGAGAAGGAAACAACATGAGAAATACTAATACAACATGAGCCTTCTGGGAGGTTTTACAAAGTTAAAATTGGTAATAAAATTGACAAAAGTTGTAGTTAAGTGACACCCTTCCTGTAAGTCCCAATATCATTCAACCTTCCAGGTTGCAGAGTACGTTGAAGGAGTAGTATGGAACATAAATGTATCCTGCACATGTTATATTTTTCTGAGAAGTGATGCTGATCCAAATGGGCAAATGTCAGTTCCTACCTGAAACCATTTACATCTGGAGAATAAGTGGACAAAAACCATGCCCTTTCTGAACAAATCTATCTTTGTTTTATGATTAAGAACACTTACTCAGTCATACTGTACTGTGCACTCCGTAGTCACTCATGGAGACTAATTGAATTGTTCTGTTTGATTTAAGTTTTTGAATGATTTGATTATACTTTAAAGTCTGAGCACATGATGGTTATAGTATGGAAGACCACTACTCAGACTTCAGTTTCAAGCACTTGTCAAGGAGCGTAGACAATCTTAAAGTAAATAAATAACTTCCCTTAAAGAAATCCAAACAAACTTTTACTTTCCGCTTCAAGATGACTGAATAGTTCAGGTTGTGATCTTGTTTTAGGGTTTTGACCAGCTGCGAGTAGAAGGTTTACTTTGCGATGTGACGCTAGTACCAGGCGATGGTGATGAAGTATTTCCAGTTCACCGAGCTATGATGGCATCAGCTAGTGATTACTTCAAGGCTATGTTCACAGGTAGTGCTTTTGTTTCTGTAATAGATTTGGACTCTGAGCTGTTTTAAACATGTCTTCGGTGTCAGATATTCTAATATGTGTAACATAATACTAGATCAAACACTTCCTTCCACATAATATTACTATCATAATCATAAAAAAATAAAAATCTTTTCATTTAATTGAAATTAAAGTTCAAATGAATTAAATCAGCTTTTTAATTGTGTAAGAATACGTATATTATTAGAGTGAACTCTTTCAAATGTAATTGAAGAACCCATTTTAATGTATCTAATTTCTTTCTTAGGTGGAATGAAGGAACAAGATTTAATGTGCATAAAGCTTCATGGTGTGAACAAAATAGGTCTAAAGAAGATTATTGATTTCATTTACACTGCAAAACTTTCTCTTAATATGGACAACCTTCAGGACACTCTAGAAGCGGCCAGTTTTTTGCAGATTTTACCTGTTTTGGACTTCTGTAAAGTGTTTCTGATCTCTGGGGTAAGGTATTTTGATTGGACATTAGTTTCAAGTTCTGACTCTTTTTTTTTTTTTTTTAAAAAAGCACATTGATTGTGTAATATCCATAGGCGAGGATTTAAGCATGACACTGGATAACTTGGGTTCACATACAGTAAGTTCCTCTAGCTTCAAAGGAACCATAAAATTGAATCTTATTTACTGTACCTAACGCTAATCACACTAAGCTTGTGATTTAAATATCCTGGCACATTAAAAATTGTAAGAACTTGTTGCAATTTCTAATTTTACTGCATGAACTGGAAAATTATATTCCAGTAAACCATAGTCATACTTCATTAGTTGGTTACTGGATTTCTCTCACTGATGCTCATTTTTTATAACATACCATAAGAAAGTAACTTTGTGAATTTATAGTAACGTAGTCATTATTGTACAGTGAATTATTTGTCATATTATCTTTATACGTACGTGTTTTGTATATAACATTTTCTTATGTTGGATATGAAGCACATAATTACAGTGGTTGTCACTGAAATCTTTACGGTGTTATCTTTGAGTTGATGAGGTTACAATAATGTTCTTTAAACAAAGTGCAGTGTAGCCGATTACAGGGAATATGTAGGGGATGCTACAGTAATGTTAGTTACGTGAGAAGGTAATTATAAGGATTTTAGTGGTGACCATTGTATATTTCTACAATACACTAAAAGAAAAAACTTTTACCTTGAATATATACTTGTGTTTAATCACAGTGACCTCAATAATAGGTTTTGTAAGGGGCAGAACTAGGTGAGTTAATAGTCTCTGTTCTCTCCCCATTAACTAAAGCTTACCTAAAAGAGGAGAGTTTGAATTAGAGGATCATTTGTATAGTTTTTTTAGTATAAAATGTAGATCATATATCTGTATATGCTCTGTAGATGTAGTGCTTAGCAAAGTTATCTCACTGCTCTTATTTGGTTGAACAGTTTTTTAAAATAAAATCACAGCATCGCAAGATGGGGGAGATGTGTGCAAGTATACACAATCATAGATCTGGAGAGACTCAACTTCTGAATCTCTGGAGCTTTTCCCATCACTTAGCTGTGACCTGAAAGAGAGCATAAAAGGGTGTGTCTGCACTAGGAGTATGGGTGGTGCTTTTACAATAATTGAAAAACTCACGCATTTTACAGCACTACTTAGCACCCAGTGTATGTAGACAGACAATAGCATTTAAAACCCAAGGAGTGGGAAGGATACTAGCATTGACCATGACACGTGACCACAGTTTTAAACACTTTTCTTCTGTGTAGCAATATGTCTACAGGTGGAAAAATGAGGTGTCCTGGAAAATCCATTGGCCATGTCGTCACTAGGAGAAAGTTTGTTTTTAAGCTCACTTGTTAGCTCACACATTAATGTGTGTAAAAACCCCAATGTGGATAAGACAAGTTGTACCTTTTACACACAGCTGGTCAAGATAGATCCTGTGTTCCCTACTAGGGATTTACCTCAACTAAAGTATTAAAACTGTAACTTGTCTATGCTAGGATTTTACCGTGTTACCTAACGTGTTAAGAGCAAATTTCTTTTCCTTGTAAATACAAGACTATTGAAAACAAAGGGACTGAAGCTGACATTTCTGGCAATGCCCCTACTTATACATCCCAAAATGCCATTGGCCTTCTTGGCAACAAGGGCACACTGCTGACTCATATCCAGCTTCTCATCCACTGTCACCCCTAGGTCCTTTTCCGCAGAACTGCTGCCTAGCCATTTGGTCCCTAGTCTGTAGTGGTGCATTGGGTTCTTCCGTCCTAAGTGCAGGAGCCTGCACTTATCCTTATTGAACCTCATCAGATTTCTTTTGGCCCAATCCTCCAATTTGTCTAGGTCCCTCTGTATCCTATCCCGTCCCTCCAGCGTATCTACCACTCCTCCCAGTTTAGTATCATCCGCAAATTTGCTGAGTGTGCAATCCACACCATCCTCCAGATCATTTATGAAGATATTGAACAAAACCAGCCACAGGACCGACCCCTGACACCGGCTGCCAACTAGACATGGAGCCATTGATCACTACCCGTTGAGCCCGACAATCTAGCCAACTTTCTACCCACCTTATAGTGCATTCATCCAGCCCGTACTACTTTAACTTGCTGACAAGAATACTTCCATCATATCATCCCCTCCATAAACATATCAAGTTGAGTCTTAAAACAAGTTAGGTTTTTTACTCCCCGTGGAAGGCTGTTCCAGAACTTCACTTCCTCCTGTGGTTAGAAACCTTTATGTAATTTCAAGTCTAAACTTATTAATGGCCAGTTTATAGCCATTTGTTCTTGTGCCAACGTTGGCCCTTAATTTAAATAACTCCTCTTCTTCCATGGTGTTTATCCCTCTGATGTATTTATAGAGAGCAATCATATTTCCCCTCAGCCTTCATTGTGTTAGGGTAAACATACCAAGCTTCCCAGGTTAGAGTCCCCCATTGTGTAAATGTGTGGCCTGCTTTCTTTGTAAATGTTTACATTTAGCTATATTAAAATGAATATTGTTTGCTTTCACACAACTTACTTAGCAATCCAGAATGCTTTGTATTAGTGACATATCTTCATTATTTACTACTCCCCCAATTTATTTGTCATATGCAAACTTTATCAGTGATAATTTTATGTAGTCCTTCAAGTGGGTTCTCCCTTTGTATATTACACTGAGCGTATGCATGTGCTCCATGCACCTGGAGCCGGAGAATCCTGGAAGAAGCATCCATTGCTCCACGCATGTGCCCTCACTCTCCTCATGCCTCCAACCAAGGCAGTAAAGAGTGGGGCATTCCAATCACTCTCCAGTTCCTTCTTACTGCCTCATGGCTGGGGTCAGAACCTTCAGTGTCCAAACTTTGTGAGGATTTGCAGGGAGGGGATAAGGGGATTCTCTAGCTCGTGGTTTTCTGTCATGTTAGATTGCGATTCCTACAGAGGACAGCTCATTTACTTACCAGCTCAGTGGTCGTGGGTCACCAGTGTGGTTAGATGTTCAGCTCTGTGTGTGTGTGTTTCTTTCTGGGTGCTGCCTCAGCTCTGTGCGCACAGCTGGCACAGTAGACCTCGAGCGAACTGCCCAGTGACCACAAGATCTGTTAAGGTATGAACACCTGGCCAGGTTTATTGTTAACAAAATATTGTTTATAGCACCTGGTAAACTCTACAAGGATATTAAGACATGTATGCCCCTGACCCTGGATGCAGCTCAGTGAGTGGCCAGACTTTCCACTGCTTCCTAGGTTGGCCAAAAATACTCCCTCTGAGATACATCTTTATACCCCAATACAAACACGTTATTACTGCCCCTTTGACATAGTTAGTTACTGCCCTCTGATGTGCCACAAGTTCTCCTTTTCATTTTGTACATGTTAGTTCAATTAAAACATTTCTATTATGTACTGTCATCCTGACCTTATCTTTTAGGAGGGGTCAATGTGTTCCTATTATCCTTGGGGAATGTTTTTGTACCATCCTTAATATTGGGATGTTCTGGTACCACTTGATATTGGGATGAATTTGTGTGAGCACTCTGTGACTAGCACTACTTAGGAATGTGTATTTTTGCAGCATTAGCCCTGTTCTGGCCAAATTCTGTATGCAGGTCCTGCCTCATACCAGGCCTTTAATACAAAGGCTTATGTCTCAGGCTCTCTTTCTGCTACAGAGCCCGAGGATGTTGCTGTCAGGGTGATGCTCTACTTCTTCCACGATCAAACCATCTGAATGTATTCCTTCTTTTCCTTACCAGTCCTACCTTGGGTCTTCTGGAAGATTCATTAGAACAGGGCACAAGTCGTCCTCACCGCCCCCATTGGCCCAGACAGTTTTGGTTCCTGAGTAGTCTTCTCATGTTGCCTCAGTCACTGATGACCAGTCAGCCTTTTTCCGATCTCCTGACCCAGGAAAAGGGCAAAATCAAACATTCCAATCACTCCATCTCAGACGGTGGTTTTAGGATGGGTGTTGACTCTAGAATGTTCATACTCTGAAGATGTACAAAGCATCCTTACTTACAGTAGAAAGGATTCCACTAGAAAATGCTGCATAGCCAAGAGGAGGCATTTATCTAGGAACAATAAAAATGTATATCCCCTAAGATGTGGATATTCCATTTATTCTGGACTATCTTCTTTCCTTCAGAACAGCAGGTCTTTTTATCAATTCTTTATGGGTCCACTTGGCAGAAGTCAGTGTATACAACCCACCTTCGCAGGGTTACTCAATTTTCACTTACCTACTGGCCAACAGATTCTGGGAAGGTCTAATCAGAACCTTTCCTGCTCTGAGAGCACCTACTTCTCAATGGGATCTGAACCTTGTTCTTTCAGTTCTCACTAAGCCTCCCTTCGAGCGACTGGCTTCATGTTACATGTTTCTCCTATCCATGAAGGTTGCATTCCTGGTAGCCATCACCTCATCCAGGAGGCTGGGTGAGTTTGGAGCTCTGATGGTGGATCTGCCTTATACTATATTCCATAGAGACAAGGTCTCATTATGCTTATATCCGAAATTCACCCTCCCAGTAATTTGAGTTTCATCTGAACTAGTCAATTCACTTACCTGTGTTCTTTCTAAAGCCACGTGCATCTACAGATTAGAGCAGGCTTCATTCCTCGACGTGCAGTGCGCATTAGCCGTATATCTGCAAAGAACAAAAGCATTCAAAAAATCTCCCAGACTGATCATAGCGGAAAGAGTTTGAGGTCAAGCTGTGTCCTTTCAAAGAATGTCCATGTTGTGGATTTTTGTAATGACTTTCAAATGATGGAGGTCTCAGGAAGCTACTTAAGAGCATACCTTCCCATGACAACTAGAAGGCTTGGTGAGGAAGGCCAAAGCTATACAAAGCATGACAAGCATGTTGGGTGGTTTGGTGGGAGTGAGGGATCCAGTTATTGTGCAATTGCTTAAGAAGCTTCACACTAAAAATCCTGGGTTCCTGAGGCTGGTAGCTCAGCGAGAAGTGCCCCTCTAACTTGCCTTCTGGAT